TTTTTTTTAAAGTAACAACACCATTAACTTCCAGGCCTGTAATCTGGGATGTCTTTCAACTAAAGCTTCCATTCCAGTGTTTGTATGCCATGTAAAATATAAGAAGACTTCTTTACACCCTAAGACAATAGCATCATGAAAACGTTCACCAATAAATTGGAAAGTGTCAGATTTGTTTTTACATAAAGATGATCTACTCTATGCACACAAATAGGAACCCGGGTCAGAATTTTAGAACGTGAAATGTAAACTAACAAAGCCATGCCAAATCCTTCTTGCCAAAAAAGCTAAGTGGGAAGAGGAACATTAACTTTAGAGAATAGTCAACGAGAAACAATAGAGACTAAGCATGAATACTCAGAGAACAATAAAACAGAGATTATGAATACATTGCTTTTGTAAAGCAAAGTACTGTTAAAAAAAGAAAGCATTTGCAGAATTTACTCAACAGAAAGGCTGGGGCAAGCTGCCCAGAGCATGGATTTTAATATGAAATAGCTTGGCAAGCAGTGTTAATTTAGTCGACTAAAATGTTGCGTCATAGTTTTTGTCATCTGCATGTTTTCACTGATGAAAACTACATAAAAAACTAAGTTAATAGGACAAACTATGACAAAAATGCAATTTTCTCTACTGGAGATTTAGTCGACAAAACTAAAGCTTAGTTTTAGTCCCAATAACTTCGTTTTTATTTTGTTTTCATCAGAGAAAACATGCAGATGACAAAACATTTTAGTCGACATTAATACCCTTGGCAAGATGCGGGTGGGGCAGATAAATAATTGGCAGGAGGAAATACACAAAGATGGCTCTGTCCAAGTGGCAGTCATTGATCTACATAGGTAGGACATTTTAGTGGCCACCTCTACAAAGTGGCTATGGCTAGAGACTAGGCATAGCCACTGACATTAGCTGGCAGTCAGAAATGCCTCCACTGTCTGCGTCTAAGTGTGAAGACCCCGACCTGCACGGATGTGCGTGTAGCCACGTCCTCCTATATAGACCGCCCCTGTCCCTCCCAGGAGCAGGTCTCTGCATAGGCGTGCATGCCGTACGGATGTGCATGCCTGTGTGAATGAGGCCTAAGACAAATTGTTACACAGTTTTATTTTTTTGCAGGCTAGATGGTAAGTGCTTGGAAATTTTTGTGTTTGTATTGTATCCAGGCAGGCAGTTTTTGCATTGCAGATTAGATTTCAGAAAACAAACTTGATTTTTACACACTGTATAAAAGTGGCTATCTAGGGATTGCTAGAAAGCTATGATGTGAATGAGGGAACAGTAAAGAGCTTACAACAGCCTCTATGCACAAGTACTATTGGTATGGGACAGCAATAGGAATCATATGACTCAGTTTAAAGCTGAATTCCAGGCTTACTTTCAGTATTGCATTTACAGGCTCCTTTCCTGTTCTGAAATTGTTTACTCTGCACACTATGAGCTTCTCTATGAGGCAGGGTGCTGTGATGTTTTCAGGAAGTTCTGTAAAGCACCCTGTCAGCCCCTCACCCAGCCATGGTCTGCCTGCATCTCATAGAGAAGAACAGAGTGGTTACATGACTGTGTATAAATTAAGTGTATAATATTACTTTAATCTTGAACATCTTAAACTCCGATAATACTTTTCAAAGCTTATCCTGTTTAGTGAAAATTATTAAACAATCTTAAAAATAAAGTCTGTTATGAGATTACTGTCAATATTTTCAGCTTTCGTTACCTGGTAAAGGACTGGAAGAAATGTATTGTTCATCATCTACAGCATAGTCAGCTGGAAACGGCAGCCAACAGGCGTACATAGAGATGTAATCAGCAGCTAGCAGAGTAATAGACTAGTAAATAACTGGGACGATTCCCTCAGTGACCAATCAGTAGTCAAGCACTAGCTATACTGGGAGCTGCAGCCTCACTTCTGGTATCCAATGATTTGCTCTGGTAGCTCTGCTAGTGTCAAAGCATAAAATGTTTTTATCACAAAATCAGACATCACATTTTGTCCTGCTAGATCAAATATATAAAAAAAAATGAAAAGCAGCAAATAGTTTACAAACTGGCTGGGTTTGAGTTGAAGAATTAAATGCAATAAAGTGGACAGGAAACCTGACACTTTCCATATTTAACCCGTTCAGCTCCCACACCTGTATGGACCAAAGCAGTTTTACATTTCTGCTATGGGTCTGTTTATTCTGCAAGAACTTTGGATAAATACATCAAGCTTTTTTAGGACAAACCTTTTGGTGATAATGTCTTGGAAAAATGGGTTAATTTCTAATGTAATCCGTAGTCAAAAAAAGGATCAAATCTAAAAGATGCGCACTATTTTCTTCTTTAGACAGATATTGTTAAATAAAAGTATCCATTTTATTATACATTTGTTCTGTTTAAAATTACAGTAAAATTATGATTCTGGTACAAAGCATTTCAATGTTATTTACAATTGAAATAAAGGATTTTTTTCCAATGTTGCTTTTTTCTAAATATGACACTTATATAATTTTGTTGTTTAAGTTTAAATAGAAATTATTAGAACACAATTAAAAAGAAATAGTTGAGGGGAGAAGGGGAAGAATGAGTTAATAAGGGTAAACTAAAGGTTAATAAGGGGTTAAATAAAAAATACATTTTATTTAAAAACTTCATATTGTTGACTTGATCTTGTGCTTGAACAGGGTTTATAAACACTGTTTCAGGGGGTACGAATTCTGACAGCAGCAGCTTCCACAGCTGCTGTATTTACAAAGAAACCTCTGGCTGTAATCTTGACACCCAGGAATTGCCAGGATGTACGGGGGAGCGGCAGATGGGCAGAAAGAGAGGGCACACAAAACATGGCCTGTGTACATCAAGAAAGTTTTTTTTTTGGGGGGGTGTGTGTAGCAAGTCCAGTGTCCAGAATAGGTTAAAACAAGACAAGATTTTATATAAAGCGAAGGCCAGACCATCTACAAAAAGTTTTGGAACACCGTAAAAGGTTTCTTCAGAAACCCAGGTTTGGGCAACAAAAGGAAAGAAAGACCAATAACAATATTTCTTCTTACAGCCTAAATACATTCGAAATGTCTCCCTTAAAGAGTCATCAAATATGGTATTTGGAAGTGAGATCTCCTCGAGTACTTTCGAAGTGATATCTGTGCACCTTAGACAATGGGTGCTTATATCTTTGTGTTATTATTATTATTTACATGAAAGGAAATGCAGCAACGGAAAAACGATTGCTCCTACTGCAAATCAAGGAGTAAGACTCCATAGAGGAGAGGGCAAAACCTGCGACCATGACTTGTCACTAGGAATTCTGAAATATACTCTAACACTATGCAAACTAACACAGATATTTTGAATTGGCAATTCCTTTAAGAAGCCTGTCACAAAAATATGCTCAACATTAAAATGAACTCTACACCTATAAGCTGCTGTATAATATACCTAAATATTTAAAAAAAAGAAAATGGGAATTTTAGTCCTTCTAAGAAATCTTTTTGAATAAGGCTTACAGTAGTGTGAATCCTGTTGTTATAATTGCACATCTAGGTCTGAGGTAGTGTGGTCCTGTGTCTAATACAGCTAATGAAACACTGAGATGTGTTATGAATAGGGGCTGGAGACAATTATCCTGTCTTCTAACACTGACTGAGATCCCTGTGTGTCATATTCAGCCCAATTAGATAGCTAATTATTGCCATAAAACCATCTTCATCCTGTTACGATGGTATAAATCTTCCCTGCTATACTAGCAGACAGGATCCCCGGGGATGCTCGTCACAAGTATTTTTATATCCTGGCTATAACTGCAAATTCACATGTCAGTTGTCACTGTAGTCAGTTGTTGCCATCAGATTTATGAGACCGTTAATCATTGTGGAATGGGAGAACTGGATAACACAAACACACACACACACGCACGCACACACTTACCTGTCACTCTCTGCAGGACGTAGTGACGGAAGGCGAAAGCTTGTGTTTCTGTCCAGCTTTGACTGGCTCTTTGTCCTCTTGATTGAGCCTTTTAGTCGTTTGCTGAAGAAACCCTTTGAGAAAAAGCAAAAAACAGTGAGGTGCTTCTATCTAATTATATAGAAACATATTTTCAAAGAGTCTGGAAAATAAAGAACTGTCAGTAAAGCCCCACAGAGACTTATCAAACTCAAAACTTTAATTCTCCAGGCGCAGGACTTAAGGACCATTGAAGAGAAAACTACTGTACTTTGGTAACTGTATGTGGTTAACAGCCGTAATGATAGCTTTCAGTACATTTATTTTTCTATTTCACACACCTTTATCAATATTTTTCTCCACATTTCCAAGTGGACACAGTTGTCCAGCAAAAGTGACAGTTACAGCCAATACAAACCATATAACACTATTTGGAGCGTTTACAATGCTCAGCGTTAATGCAAATGGTTTAAATGTTTTCCCAAAACAGCTGCATTCAAAGCATGCCTCTGGTGACAACCGTCACAGGTGCTCATGTGTTTATGTTGTCTCTTCACCAAACTTTCAAACCCTCAAATTGCTGGTGCCATAGCCAATCACATGTGCAGCACCATGGTAAAAGCTAATCTAAACAGAGGCTAAGATGGCACCTTCGTTTAAGAATAAGAGCGTTTAGTTCCACTTTAAGTTTATTTAAAACTACTCGCCTATCTAAGACTGCTGTGTTAATGATGGTGACATAATGCATCATATATGCCATTTTTTTTATTTTGCCCATACTTTCATTATAAATCTGGATGATATTGGAATCATGGAAGGCATAGAGGCCACAATACATTCCTAAGATCCCCAGATAATTGGAAAAGCTAGCAATATTACAAACAAATGTGTTAGCTGTTTAGCAGGTCGAGAACTAGACAAGCAACACAATTTTACAAAGTGTGTTATGTTAAGAACACAATGCAATGCTTATGATCAAAGTTCTATAGCAGTGTTAAGAGTCTGCCCTCTAGTGTATACACCATAGGGATAGATGGAAAGCACTGAATCCATCAAACTTGCTTTTCAGTTGGGTTTACTGCACTCTGGGTCTGCAAATCAGCAGTGAAGGGTGATGCAGACTTGCCCAACTCCACCCAAAATGGTAGAACGCCATTGTATCCGCTAAGAGTACATTCTATACTTTAACTTGCGCTAGAAGTACCAAAATTTAACCAATTTGTTCTAAAGAAGCAAACTAAATGACCATTGGTTGTTTCATAGCGTAGTGTACCCAGAAAAGACAATCCAGTATCAGGTGTTACATTGATAAATTGCATGTGTTTCTCATATGTTTCAATGTGTAACTGAATAATTAGATTTTTGTACGCACCATAAAAACCTTTTCTTAAAGTCCATTGAGGGACACAAAGTCTATAACCTTTGGGATATACTAGAGGGGGATTGGACACCAGTCCAGGATTACCCCTCCCATTACCAACCAGCATGCTTCAGTTTTAAAGCAAAGGAGTACCATAATCATACACAGTGGGGAGGAAACTGTGTCCCTCGGTGCACTCCAAGAAAAGTATTTTACTGGGAGTACAAACATCCTATTTTATTAAGGAACATGGAAAGTCATTAAACTTTGGGGCATCCAAAAGTAGTCCAATTCAAGCCCAAAGCCAACATCAGATAAGGCCAAAATGTCCACCTGGTAGAACTTGGCGAATGTGTGACAAACAGAAGGCGAATAGCCTTCGAAATCTGGGAAACAATTGCTTGACGTCAAAAAGACCAAGAGTGTCTAAGATGCAAGCTGTCCATGCATCCATAAAGGTTACAAACATCCTCCCATTCTGGAAAGTGGGGGCACACCTTCATCCTAGGGAAAGCATGTGCGCAAATTTGGCAGAGTTAAGAGTGACTTGCAGGTATATTGGGATTCAAGCTTTGGGGGTCGGGGGAGTGAATAAATGAAAGACATTTGTTAACAGTCAGGGCTGGACAAGACGTTGCGGTCTATTCCTAAGTTTCTGCTGCTGAAGAAGGGTGCTCTTGCCACCAGCAGAATCCTTGACAACATTATGAAGAACTGGTTTGAAGAGATGTTGTTCCTCAAAGGCCATGTAGTTAAAATGCTTATTCCACAAAGGTTTTGCAGTTCACCATTGTAGCACCTCGTGTGGAACCCAGTGCCCAAAGTTTACTACCAGGCTATCCCTGCAATGTCCAACCCTGCAGGGTCTGGAAACAGTGCTCCAAAAGCCAGGCCGAGGAAAGACTGCATCCAATATCTGCAATCAGAGATAAAGCTCCAGCAGAGATGTAGAGAAACACCTTGACAGAACAAAGAAAACAGATCAAAGAAGAAAAAAGGTGATAGCATAAAAAATATATTGGTCTTTAACACAGCAAAGCTGAAGAATATATGTCCATCCTGGGACACTAGCAAAGACCTGAGGCATGCTAGTAGTAGGAGGTTATATTATGGGCCGCCCTACAGTTTTGTTTGTCAGCGTCCAATCCTCCTGTAAGTGGCAGTATAACTACTGGTGCCCCTCAATGAGTGAGAAATAAATATGTTTTTGCACAGATATACAGTACACACACACACACACACACACAAATATTCCCTTCCAGAACACAAAAATATATTCAAAATTACACAAAAAATCTTTAGTTTTGAAAGACTGCAATGTTCACCATCTCTAACCGTCGCAGCTTTTGTTTGCTACAACATTTTTATGGGTGCAGTCTTTTCTCAGAGCTACCCATCATGTTTAGGCACACACACTTCTTACATAGAATACCTTTACATATCACATCTATTTTAGGGCTGCAACAACTAATCGACATAATCGATTATAATCGATTATTGAAAAAGTTGTCAACTTTTTCAATAATCGATTAATCGGCTTCCGATCAGTTGGCCCTGTTCACGGCTCCACACACGCTGCGCGCCGCACCTCCTCCCCACCTCACGCTCGCCGCTGCCAGACCCGCCCGCATCCACGCTCTTCACGCCGCACCTCCTCCCCGCCTCACACTCACCGCCCGCCCACATCCACGATCGGCACAGGGACGCGGGGAGATGTAGTAAGGAGGAGCAGGTGTGGGGGGATGACAGCCGCCGATAGACAGGCCCGATCTCAGAAGCAAGTTGCTGGAAGACTGCTCAGGTAAGCCTGCACTTTCCCACACATGGTGCTCTATAATGTATTGCTGGGATTTGTATTCCTCTATAGCTGATGGTACATTGTGCTGTATATTATACATAGGAATACAAATCCCAGCAATACATTATACACTGTATGTATAATGTATTGCTGGGATTTGTTGTACTCTTCTATAGTTGGTGATATTCTGCACTGCGCTGTGTAGAGGACTACAAATCCCAGCAATAATACATTATACAGCGTCATGCGGAATTCCACCAGCTATAGAGGAGTACAACAAATCCCAGCAATAGTACATTATACAGTGGTGCAATGCCGGATACCACCAGCTATAGAGGACTACAAAACCCAGCAACAGTACATTATACAGCGCAATGCAGAATACCACCAGCTATAATGTACTGTTGCTGGGATTTGTTGTATTCCTCTATAGCTGGTGGTATTCTGCATTGTGCTGTATAATGTATTATAGCTGGGATTTGTAGTCCTCTATAGCCGGTGCCATTCTGCATTCATTGCTGTATAATTTTACACTTTCCATTTCACTATATTGCACACCACACTATTTGTTTTCTTTTTTACTTCCACCACTCGAAGCTTGCTCCTGTGATGGACTGCAATCTCAATACAAACTAGTAGTACCATCACTGGAGCCATGTTTTAAAATGTATTTTATTGTTTATCCGATTAACCGATTAATCGAACTTAATAATCGGCCAACTAATCGATTTTGAAAATAATCGTTAGCTGCAGCTCTAATCTATTTAAAGTGGACAGGTGACATTTGTGCTTAAAGATGACACCAGTACTGTGTACAACAATTTTCCTGGATGACAAGTTAACCACACGTCATTTACAACCTACTTAACTGTTACTGTGAAGCTGGTTGTCGTCACTTCACTCAAATAAGCTTGTCCTGTCTCAGTAAATGAGAAATTGCTAGCATCCCACCAAAGGGTACAATAATTAGACAATCAATGTCAGTAATCTAGATATTAACCTCTAATGATGCTTCAGGCATTCTGCAACAGAACGCTTAGTTGAGCTCCCATAAGCAATTTCATGCACAATGTGCCTTTGTGTTCAGCCAGCATAACATGGATATGCAGCAAATCTCAATTATAGTACAAATATGGGGATTTTGCAAGCAGCATATGCTGGAATTCCAGTGAAGAATGTCTCAAGGTTATTTTATCATTTAACAGTTGCTGTTTAAGATTATACAAATGACAACAAAAAAACTGTCAAATAGAAAGTGCTCTACTTTAGTTTTCCTTTTGAAAGTACAGCTAAAAAGGTAAAAAGTGTATCAAGTCACACTGCTCTCAGGGAACAGAGGTTAGCTTGACTCAAAACTAGGTGTTCGGACTTGTGGTGTTAAATTGTGATTTTGTTATGAGTTATTGATATTGTGATGTGGTGTTAAATTAAGTGATATTACCCTTTAAGGCAATATATAAGTTTGAAACCAATCTGTTTTTTTGTTTTTTTTCATACCAACCTTCTTTTTATACACCTTTTCAAGTGATGTACATACACACAAAAGACACACACTTTGTTTTACAAAAAGACAGTTACTACACAATAAAGGGATTTCCTGAGCACTATAGACTAGCTAATTACAGTAGAAGTACTTCCCCCTTTCAGGCATGCAACCTCTCATGAAATCTTGGAGGGAGACGTCTGGTAAAAGTTGTCACTTCTCTGACTCATTAACTTGCACCTACTGTACACTGAGCCACGCATGCGCAGCTCGGTGTACAGTTTTAGCACAATTCCTTCCTTGCCGAGACAAAGTAACATCATCTTGTCCTGATTGAATCGGGCAAGGACTCAGAACCCAGAAGACATGGGTGAGGGAGCAGAGTGCGAACATTACAGCACTGGAGGGGATCGCTTTGGCAGGTAAAACTGCAATAATGTGCAAATATGCTTGG